CACAACGAACGTCTCACGTGCTCGACTCAGCAATACGTCTCTCTCTGTCCGCAGTTCAATTACACACATTGTTGCCGTCAGTTCTTACCGGTCTTATATACAAGAATACCGCATATCTAGTAACCTCTCGAGGTTTCATGAACGTTCTAGAACCGCATGACGTGTTACTAGAGTCACGTGACCTCCGCTGTCGTAACAATAATAATATGTAGAATTATACACGAACTTTTCTCTACGTTAAAATACTTTTATTTACGAGCTTTCGACCCTCTTACCGGAGCTTTCTTTGGGCAACAATGTAAAAATGTTCATTGTTGCCCGATGAAGGCTCCGGTAAGAGGGCCGAAAGCTCGCAAATAAAAGTATTCTAACTTGGAGAAAAGTCCGTGTATATTAATTTACCTACATTATGAGCCTTAAACGACAACAATAACAATAATCAGATACTACTACCCTTTTTGTAACAATAATAATAATAATCACATATTATTACCCTTTTTGTAACAATAATAATATTAATAATAATGATATTACTACACTTTTTCTAACAATAATAATAATAATCACATATTATTACCCTTTGTGTAACAATAATAATAATAATCACATATTATTACCCTTTGTGTAACAATAATAATAATAATCACATATTATTACCCTTTTTGTAACAATAATAATAATAAGATATTACTACCCTTTTTTAACAACAATAATAATAATCCCATATTATTACTGTTTTTGTTTAGAGGAGATGATTCTGCTGTTACGTTTATGTAAACTTAGTTCTTTATCGCTAATTCTCACTAATAAACTAGACTACACTAATTTATTTTTTCAGGATAAACATCAAGTTACAGATGTAATTTTATACATAACATAACCAATATCACCTTTATCGCGGTTTTTTATTACACTTTGTGATCTAAACATGTACGTTACTTTTTGACTGGCCCGTCATGGCCAGGGCGCTCGACTCGTAATTTGCGGGTTCGAATCCCCGTCACACCAAACATGCTCGCCCTTTCAGCCGTGGGGGCGTTATAATGTTACGGTCAATCCCACTATTCGTTGGCAAAAACGTAGCCCAAGAGTAGGCGGAGGCTAAATTAGGAACGGCTAGCTCAGATGTTGACGGGTTGCCTTCCCTTTAGTTTATCACTGCTAAATTAGGAACGACTAGCTCAGACGCTAGCCGTTCCTAATTTAGCAGTGATAAACTAATGGAAAGGCAACCAGTCAACGCAGATAGCTCTCGAGTAGCTTTGCGTAAAATTCCACCAACAGACTGATCATAGTGGAGAAAGATAGTCAGCAACATTCTACCCCCTCCCGTCCACACTAAGGGATTTGTAGATGAAGGGAGATATTCTCTACGGTTATCATGTGAAAGTCACTATGTTTTAATTTTTATCCAAAAGGGAGAAACAAATGTAGGCATACAAATATTTGAACTCATTTTAGAATTTCCAGTAGTGTTTTGAAATAAATGGTAATAAACACTAAATTTAATAAAACGCCATCACTTATCCCGATCGAATTTACAGGGTCAACAAATAGGTTTTTCCCAAAAGATAACTGATCTTATCATATTTATATGATGTCTATTACAATAAATGTTGATTGAAAAAAAAACAAAAATATTCAGCGTCAATATTAACTGCACGAACTTTAATTTACATTTATTTGTACATTATATCATAAAAAAACACGTGCCGATGTTTCCATTTATCAACGTTATATTTTAAGTCTGTGCAAAAACTCAGCTAACAGATGTTTCCGCATATAAAAGCTATCTTCAAAAAACTTTCTTCATATAAATGGCAAAAAAAGCCCATTTGTTTTTATGCACATTCCTAGATGGCAGCACAAACACACTGCTTTCTTTAGAAAGGCCATAATACGACTAATAACAATAAAAAGAGTAGCATCGTAAGGTTTATATATTTCACTCATGATTTGCTAATTAATAAGGTGTTTAGATTATTAAGACTACAGAACTTAGTAATCTAGATATACTAAAGTGACAATTAGTAATGGAATTAAATCTCTCATGGTGAGCCACTTTTGTGAGAAGTTACGTAGCTTGTCATTTTGTCTTTTCCTAATATACATTATCTTTATAAATATTGTATAAGTTATTTACGATCATATTTTCTACAAATGTGTTAAACAAACTGTTTCAAGTAACTATCATTCAAGTTATTTGGTTCTGGCTAAGTGTCAGTGAACCGGATTCAATAGTTTCCTAGTATTCGGGGTACTAAGCAACATTGTTGAAGCGAAACTTAGTTTTATCCTATTATACACAGGTGTTCTTTAGTATAACTAGCAAGTGCAAACGTATAATATGTTTACTGATTAAAATAAATATACATATTTTACTATTTAGTGATCTAATTCGTGAATTTTTTTAAAGGCATTTCTCTTGAGTAAACAACGCTTGTTTATCAAAGACCCCCCCCCCCCCACACACACACACACTGACCGGTGGTTCATTGCTAATTTTACGAATTACAACACTAAAATCCGGGGTTCTATTCCCCGCAGTGGATACAGCAGATAGCTCAAAGTGGCTTTGCACTAAAAAAACTCAAAGCCAATTAAATAAAAAAAAACAATGCTAATTTTCAAGTAGTTTTAATAATATCAAGAAACTTGTTCAGGACCGAGTGTATATTTTAATTTATTCTAGATTTAATTTTAGGTTACATCTTGTGAAGTGTATTCAAACATGAATCGGTTTTTCATACAATCCTGTGTAAGTCTGGAGGGAGGGTGATAAATAATATCTTCTGGACTAAAGTAGTCGTTCTGGTTAAAGAAAAATATCCGTTATTAGCCTTCGTTTACAGGTCTTATTGCTCTAGGCAGTTTGGGAAAGCCGAACAATTGGCGTGTCTTTTGTATGTCGCTCTGTGTGCTTCAATAACTTCTGGCATGTGCGTCCTCCGCCCCTCTGGGAGAATACCTAAAAAAGATGAACACAACTGACCCCTCCCGTCGCCCTCAAGGGGCTTTTAAAGGAGAGATTTTCCAGAAACTATCGGTGGAGGAAACGCGTATGTATAGCGGCGTACACACACTGGTTGTCGCCGCTGGCTGACAGAGAGAAACCAGCTCTCCTCGTGCCCAGACGTTAGGTTGTTTGTTCTGAACCGAGCTTCTTGTCCCACCTCACCGAGATTAGGGCTCCAACTGAAAATCCTTTTCTTACTACATTGTCTAATCTGCTGTTTACCTTTCAAAGTAATTTTGGGTTGTTCCAGTTATAAACGAATCGGTTTGAGAAGAACGGGAGTGGTGCAGTAGTCACTGCTTTGTTCCAGTAACTGAACTGGAGATGATAGGACTCGCGTATTAGCAACTCTTCGTGTTTTACAGCTTTTCTCTTGCGATAACCTATAGGTACAGTCTGTTGTATTCTGAAATAAAAAAGTAACGGAAGGTCAGCTATATATATATATATATATATATATATATATTAAGTTAGAAAATATTCTTTCAACATGCCTATTCTCGCCAGTAGCCTCACCGCCACAGGTGTTTTCTGGGCTTGTCTGTCTCTGGCTGCTGCCATACTTACCTGTTCGGGCTTCTACCTGCCCTTCTGGCTCCAAGGCGCCTTGTTCAACTCAACGGAGGTATCGTTCGGCTCCTTCCGCCGCTGCAGCTATCCACGGATGGAAGAAGACGGCGGGGTCAAAATAGTTCACGAGTGTGGCCGTTACACCACCTTCTACGATATACCCAGCATCTCCTGGCAAATCAGTACGATCACGGTGGGAATCGGGGCTTCCACCTCTCTTCTGGTGGCCTTCACGGCCATTGCTGCATGCTGCGTAGCGGACGTAGTGACTAAGCGTGCAGCCCGGGTCCTCGGTCTTGTTCAAACTCTAACAGGTGAGTTTTAGCAACGTAGTAGCAGTGTATGTTGGAACTAGTATTCCTTGCAGTACGTTTCTGAAGACTTAAAGTTAGCCGCGTTTTTAAATAACAATTAGTTTTACCCATGTTGAAGGGAGTTAGGAACCAATTTAACAAGAAAAAACCTTAAGTTCTTTCCGAGTCTGAATTTAACTAACCACTTCTATTATACACAGAAATATATCAGTCTTCGAGTTGATCTAAATTTAAAATATATTTTGAACCACAATTTATTACATCGTAATTAGTAACAATTATTTAAAAAAAAGGTGACATTTTAAAATTCACGTGTAACAACGTGCTAAGTCCTTGTAATGGAAAATGACCCCGACTTTAATGATCTTTCAGTGATCCACTATTTGACTACTTAGTCCAAAAGTTATAATTGAAATATGTTACTACGTTCAGGCTTACAGATGATTTTCAGCACTTGGTAACCTATTTTAAGCAATTTGTTTATTATAGTAGCTGGTCGCTAAGGTAAACTCATATTACGTAGATATTACGTAGAGACTGCAAACCCTCTAGTAACAGCAGATTCGACCACGAAATAAGGAGATTGTTCTGTAGTTGATAACTTAACTGAGTATTTCTAGCGTGTGTGTAAAATAATGAGGTTTAACAGAGTTGGTAAAAATGAAAATATTTATTATGCAACAAACAAACAAAAATAAAACGTACGTACAAAAGTCAGTCACTTCTGCTAGGCTGTGCTTAGTCCCACAACTTTCTCTTTCCCTCTCTCAGGATAGACTTCCGCCGAATTAAACACTATAATCTTAAAAGTAAGTCTTTACTGTGTAATATCCTGGTAGAACTGACTATAGAAAGTATGCCGATATTCAACAGGTAAACTCGCTTTTTTTGTCCAGTCGACAGTGTCACCTCGTGACATTAGTTTCTTCACGGCATTGGTCGGCTGTTACATGCAGTTAACGTCATAACTGGCCAGCAAAGGATATTAAAGAGCCAATCCTTTTATACCAGATGATGTATATTATTGCAATATCCCTGCGAACGTAAGAAACATCACCTACAATAGAGAAGAAAGAAACGAAGCAACTAGAACAAGGTAACCTTAACGACTTTCTGGACCACTTGTTGACCGCCATTATAGCACGGAAACTAAACAACCAAAAATTAAAATAAAATAATATCACTTCAGTAGGTAGAAAACATAAGATATTCCCACATACCACAGTTGCAAAACTAGTAAATACGCACCAATTAGAGACCTAGTTTTTATTCCACTCCTTTTGAAAATTACGCTGTTAATGTAAAGTGTTATCTTAAACTAAAACGAATAACCATACATTAATACCATGGTTGTTTTAAATGATTTTCAGAATGAATAGCACGAACTACAATTGTTACTTCAATAAGGAAATAAAGCGTCACGTGAGTCCCTACTTAAGCATGTAGCGTGTCACACTGTATCTGTGCGCGCATTATGCAAATCAAAACAAAGAATTAAGTGGGGGGGGGGATGCGTATACAAAAAGACAGATATCTAGAATATACAGTTAAAAAGTTAAAGGACGAATTTCGACACAGGTACCAAAACTTTGAAGGGGACATAATGGTGCTCGAAAAAGTTTATGGGGAACTCATCCCTCTGTTGTGCCTGTGTTGAAAACGAATCAAGAGACAATAGTTTAGATAGACAAAGACATTTTTTACCTTCTCATTTAGTGTGTATCCTCATGGGCGCTCACAGAAATATTTTCGGGGGGGAGCAAAACATGTATGTAAGGGATCAACTTTTACAGTGTACGTCAACAGACTAGAAGAACATGTGTTATGTGTACTTAAACACAAATTTAGAGTTTTTTTAAAAAATATTAAAACTATTTAGCTCAATTACGTGTTAGGTTTTCATCGTGAAAAGTTTTTTGTGAAATGTAAGGGAGGGGCAAATGCCTCCTCTTGCCCCTTCCTGTGGGCGCTCATTTCTATCCTTAAATGGTATTAAGTTTTATTCTGTACTGTATTCTCTTTTCTTTCCTTTTTTTTTAAAATCTTTTCTAGGTCTTAACCTTCTCAAAAACGAAGACATTTGTAGAGAAAGTAAATCTAGCTACTCCAGATATATACCTGTGTGTGTGTGTGTATGTATTTATTACCTAAATTTCCTAGGAAAAGTATTATGTGTGTGTGTATTATGTTGCATAGCGAAGCCATATCAGGTTATCTGCAGAGTCCACCGAGGGAAATTGAACCCCTGTTTTTAGCGTTGTGCATCTCGTATATGAAACGTGCCTTCCTTGTACTAAAATTACCGACATTTGAATCAATAACTTGATTAATTAATTCTTCTGTTGCAAAGAATATATCGGAGCATATCTACACCTTTTTGTATGATTTAAGTGTATCATCAGTTCGTTTCGCATATTTGTTGAAAGTGCTTGTTTGTCTTTTTCTTGCGCTGCGTCCCCCTGAGCCACCGGGGGAAGTTGAATGTCGGAACCTCTTCAATTTCACACTTTCTGCTGTTAGAGAATACAGGTTTCAATGTTTTTATTTCTTTCATTATTTTTTTATTATTATTTAACGCTAATTTTTATATATGTTTGCCTATCGGAGGATTGTTTGTTTGTAATTAAGCACAAAGCTACACAATGTGCTATCTGTGCTCTGCCCACCACGAGTATCGAAACCCGGATTCTAGCGTTGTAAGTCCGCAGACATACCGCTGTGCCACTGGGGGGGGGGCTATTGGAGGAGTGCTGTACGAAGGGTGTTTGGAAGGGTGCTGAAGTGATTCGGTTGACTGGCATAAAAAAAAATAATAACTGTCACGAGAAAGCGTGCCGAAAGAAGGTGACAGGAAGAAAGCAATAGATGGGAGTGTAGGAGACCCGAAAATAGTCATTTATGTCGTCTTATCGAAGTGTACCCAGAGAGAGAGAGAGAGGAAAAAATAAAATACTTATAAGTGACAGCCCTGTCTGCATGCCTGACTTCACGTGGTATATAATTATTAAGAGAAATGCATGGCGTGTCTAGGAGAGTGCAACTCCTTAAAGTTCTCCCTAACAAGACCGCGTTATGACTGTCACTCATCCCCGACCTTACACTGGAATCATGCACGTGAACTGCTTTTATGACGATATCATAAATATTGAACCAAAAATAAATTATACGAATGCGAAAGTCTTGGGTATATAATGATATAAAAATTGTAGGTCAAGATAACATTTTAGGCTAGTTATTTTTTAACTGTGACTTATAACACTCATTAGAGAATATTATTTACCCATTGTGAATGTTTTGAAGTTAATTATCTCTTTGCAATATCAAAGGCGAAAAAAAATATATTTGAATATAAATATTTATCATACTGGGGGGGGGGGGGGTGAGTTCAAGAGGACTCTGCCGAACCTTCTACTTTTGTGATGTAAGTCTAGCTCCTCATGCAGTGTTACAACAGAATGTTGACTTTTAATTTGATTTTTTTTTTTGTGTGGATTTTATGTGAACAACCATGCAATTGTTTAAGCTATATTTCATACAAAATTTCTTCCTGATTTAATCTCATAGCACCTACTTTTTTCTATCTTTCTGTGAGGGGGGGATGCCCACAGATCCCCGTAGCATTTGCATGCTGATTGTGCTTCGCAGTGCCTTGCTCGTCCGAACATTTCAAGACACAAGTCATGTTGTATACATTCCTCTCCCCACGCCAAATCTGCTCGTTATAAGCAATAAATAAATAAAGAAACGGAGCAATACATGCACATATAAATATGTTTCTATTTATTTATTTCAATACTAATTTATTTATTTTTAAATCTGACAAAAAACATACTTCGTACTACTCGTAAGGTGACACTTTAGTGCAGTTATTTATTGTTTGGTGTTGTTAAGCGCAAAGCTACACAATGAGTTATCTTTGTTGTGCCTACCACGTGTATCAAACCCGTTTTTTAGCATTATAAGCCTTCAGACTTATCTCTGACTACTTTACTAACGTTCATCCTTCAGTGTAAAGAAAACAAGGTTTGGTATAGTTCCTTTGGCATCGAATTATAAACGTTTTTCAAATAATTATTTATAAAACTCACTGTTGCCTTGATAACTTGTTTTGTTGTTGTTGAATATATTTCTATGTAGTATCTCATCCGGATGATCCGTCACGGAATATTTGTTGTAAATAAACCGGAAGCGATGTAAATTTCCCCATCTAGGAACTACTTATGAATGTAAATATACACGTTATGAGGTGTTTTTTGATTACACATTCCAGTAGAAATGAGTCATAAAATGAATACATTTAGGAGTTCATCCCGTTCCAGTGAGTTTATTTCAGTATAGAGACCTAGATAGATCTTTGTTGACAGCCAGGTTAAAAGGGCATGGAAATGGGCTAACAAGCGAGTAGCGAAGAATAGATTAGGCACCTATATCAACTTTTCTTCACTTAAATTCACGTTTTGGGAAAGAAAATAAATTAATAAATACATAAATAACCAGATAGTCTGCTGAATAATAATGGACAATTAATTGTGACGGGATATCGCATATTATCCAAACACCTAAAGTATTTTATGTTATTAGTGGTAAGTAAAGAACTTTTCATCTGAACCAAACAAACTGTTTAAATTCCACCACTATATGAGGCCTGATTTGTTTCTTTGCTTCAGACCACCAGCCTCCCCGACTCGTACCTTCTCTGGAACCTGTACTTTAAGTTACTTCCTTCTGGTGATCTTAATCACGTGGTTCATCCAGTGTCCCATTTATTAGTTCATGTCTATCCAGGATTTATTACCTGAAGGGCAGAACAGACGACGGTGACCACGTGTAACTCATCATCATAAAAAAACAAAACAAAAAACATACAAAATTATCAGTAAATGAATATAAAAACCTCATTATAATCGGAATCACTTCCACCTTCTTTTCTCGTCATTTCAGGGTTTCTTTCTACTCGTATCTCATGGCTGACGAGAGGGTATGACCCACCAACCTTTTGG